AAAAAAAAAAAAAAAAGGAAAATTTGGGGATGTTTTTATCCCAGAACCTCAACACTGAAATTTTTTGAGGTCTTGCTTTCCTTGCCCTGAAGAAATCCATAAATTTGAGATCCAGCAGAAAATTCCTACCCCATTCCCTGGGCTTTCCCTATGGATATGGAAGATTTTTAGGTTCACCACTGCTGGAGCTGTTAGGAAGCATTTGGATCCTTGAAAAATAGATGAAAAATAATCCATAAAAGTAATTATTTCCTCGGAAAATCTTATTTACATTGGGAAAAAAAAAGTAGCAAACCAACTCTTCCCTGTCTCTTCTGTCTGCAGGTTGTGGAGGCGAGTTGGGAAGGATGTCCATGGAGAAGGGTAAGGCTGGGAATTCATGCAGGAAAGGATCTTCTCCTTGCCCCAAACCAGCCCCAGACTGCAAGTGAAAAGTTGTTTTTAGGAATAAATGGGGTTTTTTTCTGGGATTCAGTGCAGGAAATGTCGGATCACCAACAGCTTTTGGATCCTGGCTTGAGGGGGACGGGTTTTCCTGAGAGGAATCTGAGGGATCCGAGGGAATCCTGGAAGTCTCCTGTTTTCACCCTCTCCTCCAGGACATGATCGAATCCCTTCCTGACTCCCAGTTTTTAAAGCTGAACCCACAGAAATCCCAATCCCTGCCCACAAAATTCCGGGATTGCTCCACCATCCCAAGCCATCCCCGGGATCAGCTCCGGGACTCATGGGATCCTCAAATCCAATGGTCCCCGGAGTCCGGAGCGCTCCAAAAGCATCGGATCCGTCCTCAGTGACCCTCATCCCGCAGGTCTGCAGGCAGCTGAAGTCCACAGGCAGCTCCAAGGGTATTCCCAGTCTCGGGAATACACCGGGAATGGCGGAAAGTGGGAAGAAGAGCTTGGCACCACTGACGGCAGGACCACGGTGAAGCCCTTCGTGGAGCCACCTCCGCCCCTTGCAGGTGAGTCCAGCTGCCTCCTTCCCGTCTTTCCAACCGCGGAATGCTCATTCCGTGCTAAATCCGCTTCCCGGGATTTGGGCAGGAACGAGGCAGGGATGGGATTCCCGTGAGCTACCCCACGCTCTCGGAGACGGCACGAGCCAACGTCCCTGGGAGGCAAGGACAACCCAAATATTCACGGGATCGGTGGTGATCCCAGCCTTCCAAAGGGTTCCTTTTAAAAAGCTGGGAGGAGGTTCCCGCTTCCGGCATGATTTTGTCCCACTTTTCCCACCACACCCTTGGCAAATTCCAGCAAAACTTCCAAGTGGGAAGAAATGGCATCTCTGAGACCCGACACCCATCCCGGATTGGTTCTGTCCAGGTTGTAATAAAGGATAAAACCACAGCTTAAAAACGTGGGAAAACATGTTTTCCGTGAGTTTTTCCTTTTGGAAAAACCACCGAAGCTGTTCCTGCCAGTGTTTTCCAAGAGGGAAGGGCCCCGGGAGAGCCAGATCTGCTCCTGGAGCAGGGCAAGAGCCACCCATGGACCTCCTGGTCTCCTCGCCAGGGCATGGATTTCCATCTGGATTCGTGGGAGAGAGGGAAAACAGGAGGGATTTGTGGCAGGATTCCTCCTACCTGGAGCTCCAACCAAAAATTTCAGGACAGGATTAAAAATCAGGGAGAATTTGGGATCGTTTCTTGTAATCCAGCAGACGAAGATCAGATTTGGTGGCCAGGAGGAGGACGAGAAGGAGGGTTGGGTACAATGGGTGGCACAGCTGGAGAAATAATTCGAAATAAATTAAAAATTTAAAAAAAAAAAATACACTTAAAAATTAATTTTAAAACAACTAAATAAATAAATTTTTTAAAAAAATGTAAATCCCATTGTGCTGAGCGAGACACCCCGACGTTGCCACCTTTACACCCCAAAATCAGCTGTAGCGTTGCCCTACGGTTTATGGCGTATTATGGGATGCAAGTGTGATGTTCCTGGGGAATTTCTTCCAAATTAGGGGCACGGAGCAGTGGAACGGTTTTCCAGCCTGGGGGTTTGGGGCTTAATTAAATCTGATCAAACACCGTCATTAAATCCTCTTTGGCACCCCAAAAACATCCTCTAGGGGAGGTCTCCGAGATCCAAATTCCAGTCTGAGAGGGAGCTGGACTCCATGATCCTTCCAGTTTGGGACATGGAATGGTTTGGGATGGAAGGGACCTTAAAAATCCTCCAATTCCAGGCCAGGGAGTCCAAAAAATATTTGGATTCCAGGGTTTTTAAAGACCCTTCTAATTCAGGACATGAATTTATTTGGGGTGTCCTTAAAAATCATCCAATTCCAGGCCAAGGGAGTCCAAAAAATATTTGGATTCCAGGTTTTTTACAGATCCTTCAAATTCAGGCCATGGAATGGTTTGGGATGTCCTTAAAAATCTTCCAATTCCAGGCCAAGGGAGTCCAACAAATATTTGGATTCCGGGGTTTTTCCAAGCCTCTTTCCAGTTTGGGACATGGAATGGTTTGGGATGGAAAATGCCTTAATAATCCTCCAATTCCAGGCCAAGGAGTCCAAAAAACATATGGATTCCGGGGTTTTCCAGGCCTCTTTCCAGTTTGGGATATGGAATGGTTTGGGATGGAAAATGCCTTAAAAATCATCCAATTCCAGGCCAAGGGAGTCCAAAAAATATTTGGATTCCAGGGTTTTTCCAGGCCTCTCTCCAGTTTGGGACATGGAATGGTTTGGGATGGAAGGGACTTTAAAAATCATCCAATTCCAGGCCAAGGGAGTCCAAAAAACATATGGATTCCGGGGTTTTTCCAGGCCTCTTTCCAGTTTAGGATGTGGAACAGTTTGGGATGGAAAATGCCTTAAAAATCATCCAATTCCAGGCCAAGGGAGTCCAAAAAACATTTGGATTCCAGGTTTTTTACAGACCCTTCTAATTCAGGACATGAATTTATTTGGGATGTCCTTAAAAATCCTCCAATTCCAGGCCAAGGGAGTCCAAAAAACATTTGGATTCCAGGTTTTTTACAGATCCTTCAAATTCAGGCCATGGAATGGTTTGGGATGGAAAATGCCGTAAAAATCCCCCAATTCCAGGCCAAGGGGTCCGACAGAGATTTGGGTGGGAGGGTTTTTATGGCTCCCTTTCCAACCTGAGGCATGGAGCAGTTTGGGTGGGAAGGGGCCTTAGGGATCATCCAATTCCCAGCTCATATTCCACGGTTCTGTGATTCCCCGGGATGGAGAGCTTTGGGAAGAGCTTTGGGAAGGGTTTTCAGTCCAACCCATGCACGCTGGCCCCATCCAGGGGTAAGGAATGAACGCATCCCAAAAAAACCCAGCCGATCCCAGAACCAAACCCGTAACCATCGCTCCGGGCGCTCTGCCGACATCCGTGCCGGACGTCCGCGTCTCCCGTGGGGACGGAAACTCGCTCGGCAGCGCCCGGGATGGGACGGATGGGACGTTCCGGGTGTTGTGGGATCACGGCAGCAGCCAACGATCCCGTTAAAACGCGGGGCCGAGGCGGGAGGGCTCATCCATCCGTCTCCGCCACGCGCCGAGCGCGCCTCCGAACGCCAGATTCCCATCGCTCCCGGCTTTTCCGAGGCTCCAGCCTGACGTTTATCTCCGGCAAACAGCCAAGAAAATTCCATTTTCCCTGACGAACGGCCGACCTCTCGCGCGGGGTTGTTTAACACCATTACAGGGATTTATTGCCGCCGGTCGCTCCGTGACATTTCTTGGGAGAACTCGTTAGCCGCGGGAAGGCTCCAAGGGGCTTGACTTCAATGAGGGATAATTTGTTTGCACGCCCTCATTCCATGTGATTTCCTTGGATTTTTTTTCCTCCCAACCCTCCAGCTCCAGCCCCGGAGCAGCAGACAACGGGAACCTCTCGGCGAGGAGCCCGCAGCCAATTCCCAGGAGGAAAACTGGGAATGAAGTGGCATTTTGGGAAGTCACTTCCCAGGTGGAAAGCTGGGAATGAAGTGACATTTTGGGAAGTCACTTCCCAGGTGGGAAGCTGGGAATGAAGTGACATTTTGGGAAGAAGTCACTTCCCAGGTGGGAAGCTGGGAATGAAGTGACATTTTGGGAATGAAATGGCATTTTGGGAAGAAGTCACTTCCCAGGTGGAAAGCTGGGAATGAAATGGCATTTTGGGAATGAAATGGCATTTTGGGAAGTCACTTCCCAGGTGGGAAGCTGGGAATGAAGTGGCATTTTGGGAATGAAGTGGCATTTTGGGAAGAAGTCACTTCCCAGGTGGGAAGCTGGGAATGAAGTGACATTTTGGGAATGAAGTGACATTTTGGGAAGAAGTCACTTCCCAGGTGGAAAGCTGGGAATGAAGTGACATTTTGGCATTTTGATCCAGAAAAACACACTGGGAGCATCCTCCTGGAATTCCCTGAATGCAAACGTTCCCGTGGAAATATCCCACCCAAAATCCAGGGTGCAACCAGCCCTTTGTCCCTCTGGGAATCCACTCGGATTCCCTCCTTTATCCACTCCCACACATCCCCATTTTTCCCGGAGAATCCACTCCTGGATATCCCAATTCTTCCATTCTGGGAATCCACTCGAATTCCCTCCTTTATCCACTCTGGGATCCATCCCAGGGGTGGGTGTGGGGATGTTTTCCAGAAAAAAAATCCAAGCCTGGATTTTTACGGGACTGTTTTTATGGATTTTTATGGACTGTTATGGGGATGTTTTCCAAAGTGTGACCTTTTCCCACCTGGATCCAACCCCTGGATGGTTCCGGGGTGTTTTCCCACGTGGATCCAATCTGTGGGGTGGGTGTGGGGTGATTTCCCACATGGATCCAAGCCATGGGAATTGTGGGGTGTTTTCCCATGGGAATTGTGGGGTGTTTTCCCACGTGGATCCAGGCTCTGGGAATTGTGGGGTGTTTTCCCATGGGAATTGTGGGGTGATTTCCCACATGGATCCAAGCCATGGGAATTGTGGGGTGTTTTCCCATGGGAATTGTGGGGTG